GAATTTCGGCAATTAATGTTTTTTTTCGAGAGTCGATGCTTTATGTGATAGTTTCCATTTATTAAAATAATTCACTGGATGCTTGAATGTTTTAACAACTGTTTCAAACCCAAAGCAGAGGCGCCCAAAGCTACCATCTGCTGACGAAGTTGTCTGTAACTGCTCAAAAATGAGCATAACTCACATCCTTCCACAGGCTTTTATATCACACTGACTAACGGTTTAACAGAGCCATCCAAAACATGCTTACACTATTGACCTTTTACCAAGTATTTGTTGCTTCTGTCTTTTCAAACCCGTTGTTTACTTATCTGAAAGCAGAGTTTGTTCGTTTCCCAGCAAACGGGAGAAAGAGTTAAAACGCAGTTGATTCAATCGCCATTTTCCCGCGGTTTCTTATTGCTTGTTTGCTGTCAAGCGTCACACGGGATCACCTGAGTATTTGATTGACAAGCATGAGTCCACAGTTCACTGACAGTTGGTTGATTACGTGCTGTTCTCATGAAGCCCACTTCTTGCTGATGCTGTTTTCTGGGGGTCTCTGGCGTTGTTCGCATCTCTGTTAGTCTTGGGAGAAGAACTGATGCCGCGAGTTTTCTGATAATATCGCAGTCTTTCCTAGAAACATAAGAAAAAAAAAAACGTCAACTTCTCAATCAAGAGTAACTAAATAATCCTTTATGCTGCTTTTTTGCCGCAATTCAGTGAAAACTCTAAGGAAACTTAAACTGAGAATGTTTCTCTTAGATCACATTAAAGATGATTTCTTGTTTTGGGAAAGTCACTGTTGTTTTAAGATTTGTTTTCTTGGTTTAGGAAATCTCTGCATGGTTCTATAACCACTATTACCCCTGCCCCATCGCTCCTTGCTTAGTCAAAATTTGACAAAACTTTTCTGCAAGATGCTTGAAAACAAAAAGCACCTTGTGAAGCACAATCAAGGAGGTCATAGCGGAGCTCTCACGCGCGAAGCGCGCTTAGCGGAACACCATGGGTAAGAAAATGTGGCAATCTACCCATCCGAGAATATTTGGTAATCACGTGACCGTAAACCATCCGCCCGAGAGACCGTCCGTCCGCACCAGAGGCATACCAATGTAAAATAACTCAACGAACAGGTATGGCAACCCAAACGCAACTCGAGGTTATTTTGGCGGGCAATTGCATAGCCACCCGCGTCTTGTAAAACAGCGGCAGCTAAAGAGTCAATAAAGACGACACGGAAAGCGGAAATTGTTTCTGTATCCGTGTTATCTAAAGTATTAAGCTTAGATTAATTGTCATTCCCACAAATTTGGAATACAGAGAAAGAGAAAGACAGAGAAAAAGAGAGAGTAGGCGGAAGGCTAGCGAAACTCAACGCCAAAAAGCGCGACAGAGATCTAGAGCAAGAGATAAAAAAACACAAGAGACATTTTTTGTTGGAAGAACAATGTGAAAATTTTGTAGCGCCGGTAACAAAAAATGAAATGAGAAATGCCCGCGGCCACCCATGCAAGGTGAAAATGAGCGGCAGTAAAAAAAAGTGAACGAGAACACGTACGACATTTCCTCCATAAAAAAGTTTCTGGAAGGTCTGCGTTGTAGTCGTGCAAAACAACGGCAAGGAAATGTACAAAAAAGTGTGCTGCACGTGCAAAGTTGTTTTGTTTGCTAATTAGACCTATTTTTGTTTTTCACCGTTCTCTGGCGTTGCCTTCGCCGCTTAGCATTACACGATTTTATATTTTNCATTCCCACAAATTTGGAATACAGAGAAAGAGAAAGACAGAGAAAAAGAGAGAGTAGGCGGAAGGCTAGCGAAACTCAACGCCAAAAAGCGCGACAGAGATCTAGAGCAAGAGATAAAAAAACACAAGAGACATTTTTTGTTGGAAGAACAATTTGAAAATTTTGTAGCGCCGGTAACAAAAAATGAAATGAGAAATGCCCGCGGCCACCCATGCAAGGTGAAAATGAGCGGCAGTAAAAAAAAGTGAACGAGAACACGTACGACATTTCCTCCATAAAAAAGTTTCTGGAAGGTCTGCGTTGTAGTCGTGGAAAACAACGGCAAGGAAATGTACAAAAAAGTGTGCTGCACGTGCAAAGTTGTTTTGTTTGCTAATTAGACCTATTTTTGTTTTTCACCGTTCTCTGGCGTTGCCTTCGCCGCTTAGCATTACACGATTTTATATTTTGTTTGAACAAACTATAAATATTATCGAGAGCTTGACTTTTAGCCCTGGCTAAATCTATACATTATCTGAATGGTCATACCATAAGATTTCTCCGCGGACTCAAAAGTTAGAACTTCATAATAAATAAATAGTACTATGTGAAAGTATTGTTGAAGAAGAATTATTTGAATGGTCTCAGGATTTCACAGACTCAAAAGTTAGAACCACCTTACAAAACTCCATCATACACAAAAGCATCAATTCCATCTTCTCTTACCAGTTCCTGGTTTGCTCTGTATGTTTTTCTTTTTATATCAGTCCACTCATTCAAAAGCTTCTGCTCAACTTCCACTTCAAACTTCTGTTCATCTGAGAGGGGAGCAGCTAGCCTAAGTAAGAAGGCAGGAGTTACACGTGTAAAGCTGTACACTGTAGACCTGTTTTCCTTTTTATTCTTATTAAAGGTGGCCAATGTGTACACTGTTTTCAAGATGATAATCTTGGGAGTTTGTAAGTAAGGGAATACTCTTAGATAAATCTAATTAGTAAATTTCAGGAAAACTAATTTTTAACTTCATCCCTCAGGGCAGCCAAAATGTCACTTAATGAAAAATTTCTTAATTTGTTTCCTATGTAGTTGAGCAAATTGCACTACTAGCCTTTGGCTTACGGAGGACTTCGGAGTCGTCAATTTATCACAAGCCTAGAGAATTATCATCTTGCAACAACAGGGTTATGATCCTATCGGTGGTTTTCACATTGCGTCATTTCCGCCATGTTGGTGGACGGTAAACAAAAGATCGCTCATCAGCTCGTTTCGTTTGTCCACCAGCATTTGTTCATTTCACTATTGTTATTTGTGTCTTCCGAGATTGCATGAAAACCACCTATTTACGACTTCTTTCCTTTACCATCAAGTAGACACTAGGTTATTGGAGTCACAAGTAGAAGCAGAAGAACTAAACCAATCACAAAGTGTGGGAATGAACATTGTACTTGGTCTGTCCTTCCCCTCCTACTTCTGACTACTGTAATCTGGTTTTCACTAGAGTCAGAACAAAATGGAAGTGCTCGCTTCTCTCTGACTCCAATTCCACTGTGCTTATGACCCCACTTACAACTCCGATTTTCAGTGTTTTCACTAAGTTATAAGTAGGCTACAAATGCAGATGTATTTCTGGTCATTGCTTCTCTACACTTGAAAAGTACAACAACCAAACAAAAGGTTCTACCTCACAAATTGTTCGGCTGCTTGGGTTCGCACACGTGGAGAAAATCAACGACCGGAAATACGTCTGTGTTTGCTGGCTAAGTTATGAGCACTTTTACGGCTCGCGTATGACTTCAGCTCCAGCCAATGAAAACCAGCTCTAAGAAAGCTTATTTGGGAATTTTTAACAACCAACTTTAACCTCCCACAAAGCTACTGAAAAGCCAATCAATCCCCAACCAGTGAAAGAGTTTTTCAAAAATTTGAAGTGAGTGGTGGTCATAATTCAAAGTAAAAGTGTTTAAACCATTCGCCCCTGGAGATTTTGCCAAAAAACGCGTTTTGAAGCTAGTCGAGCAGTTTTCTGGTCACTGTCGTGCTATAAAGGCTAACTCTTAAGCCATTTACAGGTGTTACCCTTCTCGGACTTCTGATCCAGATGCAAAATATTAGCTTGCGAAGTTCCGGCATACACAGAAAGCAAACTTTTGAAATAGTTTTTGGGTTTAAAAGTGACACAGCAGTTTTAACTATTACTTTTCGCTTTCTCTCCTCCCTCTTTTTCACTTTTCTTGCCTCAATTTTTCTTCCAGGGCATTGAGTAGGCTTCATTTTGGTGGGAAAGTTTTAAGGAAAACTTTTAGGATCTTAGAGTGAGATGAAAGGAAAGGTAGGCGGGTAGTGGAACATGATTTTCATTGACATGGCAATTTTCAGGTCAATGTTACATGTTTTTTTTCCTTTTTCTCCAGTGTCCTTGATTGAATTGAGCTCATTCTGGTATGGTTTGAAAGAGCTCTTCACTCTGCACACACTAGCGGACAAAGTAAAAATACTGTTGTCCTTGACCAGTAAAACTGATGACGTCACAAGCGGTAAAAGGAACGTGGATCTGCATGGGCGGTTATGGGCGGCTCAGGAGCGACTGGGTTAAGGGGAGGGTTACTGTAGCATATCACCATCTTTGGGAACAAGACACTTTCAAAAAGGTGGTAGATAACAACATTTTAAGGTACAATATACCTTGTGCAGTAAATACCTACATGACAGCCAATGGTGTGACTTTTAACATGTGACTTAATGACTCTTTAGTTGTCTCTGCTTTACAAGAAGAGGGTGGCTGTGCGATTTCCAGTCAAACTAACCTCGAGTTGCATTTGGGTTGCCATACCTGTCACAGTTGATTGAGCTATTTTACATTTCCGCCTGTGGTGCGGACGGACGGTCGGGCGGTCGGTGTACGGTCACGTGATTACCAAATTTTCTCGGATGAGTAGTTTACCACATTTTCTTACCCATGGCGCTCTGCTACGCGCGCCTCGCGCGCGAGAGCTCCGCTATTAAAAGAAAAAGGCCTCACTTAAACGCCTTTAAGTAAAAATAGCCGTCGCTTTCCTGCACTGACACTGACTTTGCCTACGATATTGTATTGATTTCAGATAACTTGCAGTGAAAATTTAAAAGATCTGTTTCAGCCATAAAGTGTCAATTTTGCTCTGCAGGTTAAAGTCTGATTCAGCCCCTCCTGAAGCCATTTGAGCACAATTTAGGCCAAAAAAGCTCAATCAAAAGGCTATTCCAGTCCACGCTGAGGCCAATTTCAGCCCTTGGGACCAAATCAGCCCTAGCTAATTGGATTGTATTGGCCCTGATTTAGGGGAGCCAAATAAGACTAAAAAATAGGAATGTATTTTAATCACCGAAACGGCCCCATTTTTAGGGCTAAAACAGATCTTTCTGATTTACAGTGTGGATAAAGCTCAATCATTGCTAGAGCGAGTTGAAACTGCTGCCACAGATCGAAGTTGGTCTTCACATAGACAGCAGCAAGACCGAACACGTGGCATATAACCTCCGATCGACGTCAGGGCGACCTTTCTGTACCCTAGACGGATCTAGACAATTCAGAAAGCTAAGACAAGTACGTAGGCTCTTGGATAGATCAAACGAAAAAAGACCTCGAGATCCGTGAAGCTAAAGCATTGTCCGCTAGCAACAAACTAACAGTGGTGTGAAATTCATCCTCAGCGGAGATATCAGGATACGTTTCTTAATAGCTTCAGTTGAATCTTGTCTATTATTCTTGTCAAAGAGTTCGACATTGACCACTGCAGTGGAAAAACAACTTGATGGCTGCTACACAAGGCTTCTACGTGCTACTCTAAACGTAAGCTGGAAAGACCATATATCTAACAAGGAGTCTCAGTTTCAACAAGTCTCGAGGTACGTCGGCTGCATTTTAGTGGCCACTGTTGGAGAAGCACGAATGAGACTGTTTGCTAACTACTTCTTTGGGAACCAAAAGACGGCAGACGCCGTAAGGCGGCGGGGGGGGGGAGGGGGGGGGGGACGGGGGAAGCACCCAACAACAACATTCATTGACCAATTAGATAGTGACACGGGTCTTACGAGGCAGGATCTTGAATCTGCATGTCATGACCAACAGACGGAGATGGAACAGACTTATCAAATCGGTGCGGGTGCGCCCGAAATAGATAGACTGAGATAGATTAACCTTTCCTCGGTCTCCGAGGATGGGTCGGCAGCAATAGCTACGAGCAGACATTCTAGCAGGCGCAAGAAGTTCATATGGGCGAAAAAACGAATCGTGTTTCCCTCGCGCCCCCCTTGAACTCCTGCACCCTTATAACTTCCATGCATCTTCTTCGCAGGCTAGCAACAAACGTCTGTCAGAAAAAACAAACGGAATGATATACAGACATAGAGATACTTTTATTCAACACTGAATTGTCACAGCTACATAAAATAAAGACCTTTAGCAACGACGACGGCGACGGCAACGGCAACGAAAACGTAAATCAGTTTAATTGATATTTTAAACCGCGAGTAAGTCGTCCTTTTATTGGTGACGTTTTCGCGGCCGTCGCTGTCGGCGTTGCTGCTTCCTTGCCCAGTCCCTGTTCACCGTTTTCCAGGCCCTCTCTGCCAATTCACTAGACGTCTGGGACTATGGACCGCAGACTTGCAGATCAATTCTCGTTTTGATTTTCGGAAATAGTAGTACTCTGTAAGTTCTACCTTGATCTTAACTGAAAGAGGTTTCCATTATAACTTTGCAGCTCTAAAATCAATTTGTGGTTAGACTCTGGGATACCTCTTATCTTGAATGGTCCTCTAGGAAAACAAGTTGTGGCTACAGTACCTTCCCTGACTGTTCTAGGCCGAACGCTATCATTTCATATGTAGAATGGCAAGCACCTCAATAAACCGCTCTCTAGAGCTTTCTTTACGTGCATAGTAAGTCTCAATGCATCACATATATAATTAATTGCGTAGTGATTTTAAAGCAGTATTTCTTGGACTTTTTCTTTTGTTTAGACTGGGTTTAATTAAAATGCGCCCGGAAAATCAAATCTTAAATTCGCTAGAACTTGATGTATGCAAAGGACAACCATAAGTGAAGATCTTGAAATACCCCATTAATATACTAAAAAGGGGTGATATTACTCAACATTAGTGCTAAAAAGAGCGGCTACAAGTAAACAAAAGGAAACAATGAAATTAGGGTATGATACTGTGTATTAGTCTACTATCTTTTTAATGGTCACGAGTAAAGTAAAATTTCAAATCAAATTTCAAATTTCAAATCAGCGCGAGGCTGATTTGAAATTACAAGCCCGATTATCCCTGAATGACCTGAATTGTACTACACGGAGTCCTATTACTAATTAATTGTGTCAATAACAAAATTCAAGAATCTTAGTATTGGAATATTTATTAGATCTTATTAATGTAAGCACAAAGTTTTTATTGCATCAGCTTGCAGCTAGGCTCAAAGCAAAAATATCGTACACTTTCTAAGCTTTCTAAATCAGGCTCTCGAATTTTTAAAAAAATGTATCTGAATGACAGCCATTGGACCAGACAATTTCGTCCATTCTCTTTTTCATGCTGCAGCTGCAGTCAGCTGCTATGTGGTTAAAAACTATTGGCTTGTAACATTTTCTTATTTGATTTTCGTTGGCTGTTTAACTGTCAGATTTGATCTGTCTGATTACAAACTCCTGGTAATCGAACAGTTTTGGTGTTGCAATAGTAAAATTTCAAGCATTTTGTTTTTGACACGATTGCTACTCAGGTCGCAATAATTATTTTAACGAAGTGCATTAAATCCGAATTGTTGCTGTTACTGTAACTGAATTTGGCCTCTTAAAGTGCGAGTATTTTTGTTTCACTGCACCAAGATATAACCTATTCCCTTTACATTTTTGCCGCCGTTGTCTGGATTCCGTTTTCCGTCAGCCGCATTGCCACAAACATTGTTGTCATCGGGAGCTCCACCTGTGCCAAACCCGATTCTGGAATCACAAGCAATGCAGTGGTCATGATCGTTACTAATGATGCCAATTCTTGCCCGTGCTCTTCGGCCGACATTGCCGCTTCCCATGACTTCCCCTTTAACATTGAATCCTTCAACGTTGCAGTTCGTCTGTAAGGAGCCCCCTGAACCAATCAGCGCCTTCCACGCTTTACGTCCTAGCGAGGTTTTACGCTTTTGCCCATCACCAATCAGGGAATGCAAAGAGTGCGCTTGCCTGTCGATGACAGCAAAGCTGATGTTACCGGTAATGTTAATACCGAGACAGATTTTAGAAAAGGATGTTTTCCAGTAGGAAGGCAATTTGGTCTCCTCTGCGTCAAACCCAGTCTTCCCTCCGTCAATGTTAAAGGATTGTTTGTTTGTCCAGCTCTTTGAATTGAAGTGAAATGTTTTCTAAAATAGCATGAAAATGAACAGAAATAGGAAAAACTAAAATTAAGCTATAACATTGTATGACGCAACAATAGCTATTCATTGTAACTCCTGACTTCGCGTTAATTAAAATAAGTATTTGTCGAACTTTTTTTATTGGTCATTAGACAGTCTCAACGAACGCAAGTGAACCTCGTTCCCAGAGCTACCTTTCCACTCCGCCAGCAGTTTTGTAACAAAAACGATTATTTGAAAAGAGCTTTTTTTTGTTTTAGAGCGAAAAGCAGAGAAAGCAACGAAACGACAGAAATTCCACAAAACGATGTTGCTTTTGCTTGAAATAAACTTTCAAGCCTGATCCAAGACTCTCCAATATGTTAACAAGGTTTACGGTCAAGTCGCCCAAAAGTCATCTCGCTCGAAGTTATGTTACCCGAAATCAGAGTTATTTCGCCCGAAGGTTTAGTCAAGTCGTCGAAATACTGAACAGTATGAGGCTCGAAATTTTATCATGCCTCAACAATCAGCCTAGCATCCCTATTACCATTTGCCGCATTTGTTTCGTCTTATGGAAGATTATATAGAGAGATATACTCATTTATCGCGCTTGTTTCGTTGTGATTAATAATGGTAATGGGACTGAGTGAGTCAGTAATCATAATAATAGGACGATACGGAGCTGGAGTCCGATTTGCTTAATCACTTGTATGATTACAGACAAAATTGGACGAAACGAAGTTCTGTTACCAATTAATCATAACTGTTACAAAAATTTGTGATGTTTTAACGCTCTTGAAATAGAAAAAAGCACAAGAAACTCCAAGAGTTTTCTTGCTAGCAGTGAAAAAGAGCCATTTAGTGTGCGCACGCGCGATGGCGCCTGCTGTCCAATTACATAGGCAGGACGCGTGCTGTCCTATTACAATGTTCTATTAGTGCTGAAATCAGGACAGTTGATAGCCAATCAGATTTAAGATTTTTGTTATAGTTTTAGTTGGTTAAATTGCGAAATATATTACACATTCATTCCGCTTGTTTCGTCTCATGATGGTTTAATAAATTAACACACTCTCTTTATATAACAAAAATTAACTTTCTTTCTCTGTACACTTCACCTGATAAAATTCGGGCGACATGACACCGCATTTTTTTCCGACTCTGGTTACGGGTGACATAACTTCGGGCGAGAAAACATTCGCGCGACTTGACGGTGGTTTCTTGGTGTTGCGGACACCAATGACGTAATACAAAAGATTGAAAAGACACTGAACAATACCCACACCACAACACAAAAGCTAACAAACAATAGTTTCCGTAACACCAAGAAACACCCGACTTGACCGGTTACCGTTAACAAAGCTTGTTTAATTGGCAACACTTTCTTCCGTTAATAGTGCAGAATCGTCATGCAAAGGGCCTTTGATATTCTTCAGGGGCATCCAACGTCAATTTTCGGAAAATATACGATTTGAGATTTAGAATTTTCGGATCATTTTTTGTAAAATTTCTTGCTTGCCTGCCTCTCCTAAGATTTTTGAACATCTAAAAAATGGTGTAATTGCCCATTTTTAACGGATTTTTACCCTAGAAAGATCACCTAGAATTTTTAGGAGCCTTTTTTCTGGCTGAAATCTTCGAAAAGGTAAGTTTTGATCCCTATGATTTCCGGATCACTAGACTTTCAGCTAGAAAATCCGAACAGATGAAAAATTTTTAAGGGATAAAAATATGCCTATATCTACCGTTTAAATACTAAAATACGTTTAACAATGCTATGTTTAAGTAGTTTTGAACTATATTCTCGTTGGGTGCCCCTTATTCTTTGCGCAATAAAACTTCATAACATTGCCGAAAGCGATAAGCCTCCATTGTCACCATTTAGTTTGTGCTATTTTGTATCTGAATATTTTCCAGCCAGCTAGTGGCTAAAAGCTACTACAGAATATATTAATTTATTTTACAATTAGTGCTTAAGCGAATCACCATTGGAAAGAAAAATGAAAATTCATTCATGGTCGAATCATTTGTTCGGCTTTTGTCTGTTATACTGTAAGGCATGGGAAGATCTATCCTCGATCATTTCGCTGCTTAAAATCTTGACAGCTTAAACGAATAGCTAATTGGGTCCAGGAGGAAAACAATTCTTTTTTTTTTTCATATGAAACGATAACGACCAAAGCCTTCTTCAAAAGTTAAGCCCTTAGTTGGTACTGCACTGCTGCTGGGTGACTGGTGACGTCATTTACCTGGTCGCAATATTGACGCCACGTGGATTTTACTGAAAATTTATATTTATTCAACTGGAGTAGAAACTGAGCATTCTTTCCACGCGAGGTCAAATGTTTAGTGTAAATAAACAATATACAGGTCATTTTTCACAAATAGCGGTGAACCTATTTTACTTTTGATGTAAATCTCGCAACCCAACCACCTCAAGCGACTGAGACAATAGTTTTTTCACTGATGCCATTCGAAGGATAAACAAGCAGCTTCTAACAAACCATCTGGTTTGTGGGTGCGTTGGTAGCCACTACCGTTCAATGGCCAATCAGTGTTTTGTAGGGAGACAAATTGCAAAAGAGGAGGTACGGAATACATTCTTATACTGTAAGTAGTCTTAAGGCAACGCCGGGTGCCTGGTATTCTTCGCAACACGTAGGTAAAAAAATAAAAAGTGGCATAGATAAAGTAAAGATTTAGAAGTAACATATTCACGTACACCCCGCCAACACAGTCTTTCTTTTGGCGCACTCGAGAAAGACTGCATGAATCGATCGAGTAAAATCTTTGTTGAGCATGTAATGCATGGTGCTTGGGATATAGTTTCGAACCCAGGCCTAATAACCGTGTGCTTGCTACAGCAGACTCGGTTATGACCATCGTCTAATCAATAAACGGATGCTCGCACTCGAAAAAAACAGTTTGACGAGAGAAAAGAGGCTTGTCTAGTCCAGAAATTTTGGGCTGTGGCTACCTTCAAAGGTTTGACGTTATTTAGGCAAAACGTCCTAAATTTTCTCCTTCTCAGGCTCAGCTCGCATGGTGATTCACGTAGTGGTTTTTCGTCTACAATTCCGGGTCGAATTGGAATTTGAAAAAATTTGGATAAATATCTCATCCACAAATTTCATACCTTGCCTCCGTTTATCTTCATGACCGGCGTCCAACCCCCTGGTCCACATCCAAAGTCACCAATTTGACAGAGAACGGAAGTTGGTCTTGAGTTAAAAAAAAGTTTAACCAGCTGGCTTCGTTGGGACCTGCACAAAAGCCAAGGTGGGCACTTCGGTAAATAATTATTGTTTAAGACAGTATATATAATGCAAACCAAGTGATCTGAATGACCCAGGACTAAAATATTGAACTCAAACAAGAGTTAAATCTCACAGTAAACGTACTTCGTGCACCCAAGACTGTTCATTATTCTCTGTTGTTACAAACTAATACAGTGGTGGATCCAGGGGAGGGGCCCGGGGGGCCTGGCCCCCCCTATTTTTAGACTAAACTGAGGCCCGAGGGGCCGAAACAAAATTATTTTGGACACAGCTCCCCCCCTTATGTAAGGTTCTGGATGACCACCCCACCCCCGCCCTATCTTAAGGTCTGGATCTGGCACTGCCAATACATGCCAAAATGGCACAAATAAATAAATAAATAAATAAATGACAATTTCACTCACTTGTCTGCATAATAATCGTACACTTGCTTGCATGATTTCGGAACTAAAGGAAAAAGGATATCAACTCGATTTAAAGTCACTACAATAGTATACGTTTTACTCCCGGGCTTACTTCTAGGTGCCGAACTGACTGATTGAGATATTTTATAGATTTTTACTTTAATATTTTTACTATTTGACTGCATGCTAAGCCCCCTCTACACCTTAAGGATTTCATAAATGCGGCTTTAGAAATAAATCCAAGTCAAACCCTCCGTAAGCGAACACCCAAAATGACAATGGCAGGCGGTCGCTTACAAGAATCAAACCGCAAGGCCGACTCTACTGAGAAGAGGCCAGAGGACGTGTTTTCTTGGAAGAGGTCAGGACTCATCTGCTTTTTGGAGGGAATTTATTGCGTGCAATTTCTTAGTTACGACTCAGTGGAAGTTCCATCTCGTCGCTAAAACGGTTTCGTATACTTTGATTAGCTTAGTACACATGCTACTTGCAGCGAACAAAGAGATCGGACCATGACGCCAAGTGCATGGTTGCTTATTAGAAGTTAAAAACAATGAAAAATTACAAAACGTCACCCGAAATAATTGTCGTAGTCGCTTATGAGAGGTGCTCGTTTACAAAAGGTTCCACACTAAAGGGATTTTACTGAGAAACGTTTAGTGTTCTAGATAGGTGATCGCCCATGGGANCGTACACTTGCTTGCATGATTTCGGAACTAAAGGAAAAAGGATATCAACTCGATTTAAAGTCACTACAATAGTATACGTTTTACTCCCGGGCTTACTTCTAGGTGCCGAACTGACTGATTGAGATATTTTATAGATTTTTACTTTAATATTTTTACTATTTGACTGCATGCTAAGCCCCCTCTACACCTTAAGGATTTCATAAATGCGGCTTTAGAAATAAATCCAAGTCAAACCCTCCGTAAGCGAACACCCAAAATGACAATGGCAGGCGGTCGCTTACAAGAATCAAACCGCAAGGCCGACTCTACTGAGAAGAGGCCAGAGGACGTGTTTTCTTGGAAGAGGTCAGGACTCATCTGCTTTTTGGAGGGAATTTATTGCGTGCAATTTCTTAGTTACGACTCAGTGGAAGTTCCATCTCGTCGCTAAAACGGTTTCGTATACTTTGATTAGCTTAGTACACATGCTACTTGCAGCGAACAAAGAGATCGGACCATGACGCCAAGTGCATGGTTGCTTATTAGAAGTTAAAAACAATGAAAAATTACAAAACGTCACCCGAAATAATTGTCGTAGTCGCTTATGAGAGGTGCTCGTTTACAAAAGGTTCCACACTAAAGGGATTTTACTGAGAAACGTTTAGTGTTCTAGATAGGTGATCGCCCATGGGAGGACAATTGGTCGCTCTTACATGGAGTTTCGAAAGCATCTTCATCAAGGTCAAGTTTCATTACATTATTACTATTGTAAAGTGCAAGTCTGTCCTTTGACAACCTTTTATGGGAAACGTACCAAATACTTCTTCGCATAAGTCTCCGACGTAACCGTCTTTACAACCGCAGTCAAAGGTGTGATATTTGTAGTTTGGTACACATGTTCCACCATTACGGCAAGGCGAAGAGTGACACGCAGTCTAAAACAAATAAACAAGGCAAAAACACAAACTAAAACTAAAAACATAAAGACCGTTTAACGATATAAAGGACAAACATTTCATGTCGCTTATAATAAATTGTTAACGATACAGACATAAGGTGGGTCTGTTCAGAATATATCTTTAAATCAAAGCCCAGTTTAAATAACTATTAAATGACAGTTTTCCCAACCCGATTGCCATATATATATATATAGTTCAATAGTGAAATCGCTTCCCTTTTATATACCGGACGCCTATGAAAAGACGGAATCCCTTTCGTTCGGAACCTCCCCATAAAGGCCATAAAAGGGAGAGCCCTGCCTACTTGCAGCATACAGGGAGAAAATGACATGGGTTTACCGCCCCTCCCCCCAAAAAACACACTCTGACCAGTAACTATGCTATTCAGTGTTATATCAAGTTTCTAATCCTCGGCCCAGCAATGACTGAAAATTGAATGGCAATATGCGGCACCCGCTTATTCAAACTGTCTTTGTACTCACAGGTCACCCAAGCTCAAAATATGATCACCATCGGTACTGTTGAGTAACGTTCGAATTCGAAATACTCTTTTTTTTATATAACAATGTTATTTTCCGGCCTAGGCTGAATATTGTTATTTTTTGTCGATTTTAGGCTGAATATATTCTTGAATTAATCCTAATTATAAACTACAGCTTACGGCATTTTCCGCTTTAGAACATGATGTATTAGGATTTCAATTACCAGTGTTCTTGCCGTTTAGTAAAAGAAATAATTTTCTACGGTTAAGTTAAAACATAAACTGATGTACTGTATTTACAGATTTTCAAATCCTTTTCAAATTCTCAGCCTCGGGTTTATTCCTAAAATATTCTTAAAATTTCGCAAATTTCAGCTTCAATATTCTTATAAAATATATTCTTATAGAAATCAAAGGCTCCTAGGAGCGAGCTCATGGATGAATTGAATTAGTGTAGAAAAGACAGTTCAATAATCAAAGGAAAACATATAAATCTTTTTGAACGGTTCATTGTGTACGGACTTGCCAAAATATAGCGTGACTCGAAGTATTCGATTGCATGTGCACCTGAATATTCTAGAAACTTGTTATCAGCGCAGCATTTCTACTTACAACAAAAAGATCACTTTTAAAAGCAATTATTAACGCTTTTTAGTTGTAAAATAATTTGCTTTGTCATGTGACTGTACATGTCAAACACTTTCCGAACGACAGTGCACTTTCTTGTAAAATAGCTAAGTTTTACATAAGCCCGAGTTTTATTTAAACCGTGGTTTTAAGCAATTATTTTAATGGACCTCGAACGTTTCCTAAAAGTGCGATGCTTTTAAATAAATGCTTCCATATGCTGTTCACAAAGACTATGTAACGGTTAGTATATTAGGGGCACCCAACGAGAATATAGTTTAAAAGCACTTAAACATAGCATTGTCAAACGTATTTTAGTATTTAAACGGTAGATATAGGCATATTTTTATCCCCTAAAATTTTTTCATTTGTTCGGATTTCCTAGCTGAAAGTCTAGTGATCCGAAAATTATAGGGATCAAAACTTACCTTTTCGAAAATTTCAGGTAGAAAAAAGGCTCCCGAAAATTCTAGGCGACCTTTTTAGGGTAAAAATCCGTTAGGAATGGGCAAGTATACGATTTTTTAGTTGTTCGAAGATCCTAGGAGAGGCAGGCAAGCAAGAAAGTTTACAAAAAATGTTCCAAAAATTCTAGATCTCAAATCGTCTTCCGAATAAATGTTTTCCGAAAATTGATGTTGGGTACCCGTGGTATATGTAGAACGAGCTATTAAATACAGAATACAGGCGTTTATGGCTAAATTAAACTGCTTTAGAACGCGCTTTTGATAAACACTAGCTAAAAATTATTTTAATAGCTGTACGTGCTCTGATCTAGCTAAGTATTTATTTAAACGCAGTCGAAGTATCCGATTGCCTTTCTCCACCTAAATGTCCTAGAGACTTGTCTACACAAGCGCAGCATTTCTTGTAGAACTTACATTAATAACACTGCTAAATAGAATCACCGACAAACAAAAACCTACTTTAAGGCAAAGATAACCTAAGAATTCAAGCAAAATAGCGTAACGCTTGTTGGTTCTAAAACCTGTGCTTCCAGTTGACACAACATTAATTCAGTCCCTGCTGTTTGCATACGAAGACAAATGGTCGAATGGATTCGTCCAAATAACAATAAACCACAATAGATACTCCTCAACGTCCCCTTATTCGCTTTTTGCTGAACGAAATCCCATAGTCAGGCTGCGATAGCTCTTTCACACTCCTGTCGATCGCATCTTCTCCATATCAAGTAATATCGGGAACAAATGTGGCCAATTCGTCTAAATATACAACAATGATCCACGCTCAATTATTTCAATGTCCTTTTAACATTTCTAATTCCATTTCTTGCAGATGATATTATCAGTGTTCTTTAGAATATTTCCATTTATACAAAACCCATCTCTATAACTGATGTGTCGTGGAAAAGAATGCGCTTTACTAGTACCCTCTAGAATATTCCAAACATATGCGTAAAAGGCACTTGGAACAAAAGTAATACTAAGTAAGGGAGGTAAGAGTAAAGTGTTTAATCTGACTTTAATGAATAAATTAATGAGACTCGAGTGAGTGAGTGAGTAAGTGAGTGAGTGATCGCATCGCATGACTACGTCATCCATGAGCTAAAAAAGAGTGTATGGGAGACAAAGAACGATTGTCTCTGCAGCCTACGAATGTGAGAACGATTTATGATCCTGACGCATAAAATCTTTTAACAGCTGACGAAGGTTTCAGTTTCAGATCGAAATTTTTGGCACAGACTGAAAGTAAAAAAAAAATGTTATTTTTTGCTTTGCACGGATCATATTCATGAAAGTTCTGTTTTACTGTGTAAAAGATGTAGAGTGAAAAATGAGAAAAAATAGGTTATTGTTGGGGTGATGCATCTCATTCGATTGAATCCTATTTTAATTAACTTTTTAAGTGACATGTTTGTTCGTACGTGTGCTTTACCCCTTTAACCAACTTGAAGATAAATTAAAAATGACGACCATACACACACACCTCTAGAGGTTATTGTTGGGGTGATGCATCTCATTCGATTGAATCCTCTTTTAATTAACTTTAAAGTGACATGTTTGTTCGTACGTGTGCTTCACCCCTTTAACCAACTTGAAGATAAATTAAAAATGACGACCACACACACACCTGCGGTGCCAAATTTCCTATTTATAACTCCTCTTCCCTTTTACCTATCCAAGCATTCTGACAAAGGCAGACGTTCTGCTGTAAATGGGTCTAAAGTGACCGAATCCTCCGTCAGACACAACGGGAAAAGCCATAATTTAATATAAATGTCGGCGGGTTATTGGGAGAAAATCTTAGAGGGAGAACATTTGTGAAGTTGTTTAACCAGTGTCTTTAGCCGGCGGACGGGGGTCGTGGAGAGAAAATAATAGTGATACCTTAATGGAAAAGTGATGCGAGCTCTGGTTTCTTTTGTACTCTCCAGGGTTGCTGTACTTTTCAGAAGATAGCAACTCGCACCAGAGCTTCTCGTCTACTCCTTTTGACGCGGCCAGGTTCAAAGAAAAGCAGGAGGGATTACTTAGACATTCAATGGTACAGTCCAGGGTGTCGTACACGGCGTATGTTCCAACTCTGGGTACATTCAGGTAATGGTGATCGTCTTTTACAAAAATGTCTTGGCGAAGATCTCGGTGATACAAGGTGTTAAATTCTGCGAGACAAAAAAATTTTAAAATTTAGAGGAAACGAATAAACTAAAAAATTTGTCGTACCTATCTGTTGAGTCACTATATTGCAACAAGGTTTAGAATACTAGAAACTTCCACGTATTTTTTCAACCTTTGTCTTACATTTTCAACTTGCAAGAACTGTTTTTTTTTGTGCCATAACATCAACCAAAAGTGAATAATTCAAAGAAACCAGGAACTCAAACTTTATGGAATACTATTTTATTTCAAAAGCATTCTTTGTCTTAAATGTAAAATAGACCTCAAATTTAGTGAAGTATTTTTTAGTGCTTTTTTAACTTTTTATTATGTTTTATTACTACACTGCCTTTCCCGTCTTTAGTCTGGTTTTAAAACGTTTTATTTATTTTAAGACTGATTTGAATAGCACCACAAACCTCCAATTTGGGCATGTACTCCCTCAGGTGAGATTAAACACAGCAAGAAGAGGAGAAAACAGCAGATGAATGAAGGATACAGTAACCATTGAAGGATAAGCAGGTGAGTCTTGAGCAAGGCGCGAAAATTTGTGATCATGGTGCTCTTGGGTACAGTGTTGCGCGCTGTACCCATACTCTTAAATACTATCCGTTTCGGGGCAGCAAATAATTTAAACTTTTTTTCTTTAGTTTTTTAAGACTTTTTTCTCAACTGCTAGCCAATGACATTTCACCAAATAATTGCTCCATCAAGAAACTTATAAATTTTGCAGAGGGTATCATTTTCAACCCCTTAATGTCTGCAAAACCCTTCGTTTTTTTCCACCTGCTTCAAGAGGCATTCTTTCGGTCAACGACCAAATTCTCTTTACCTATTTCTAAAAGTTTTCACAAGAATATTTAGGAGAATTCGGTCAACGGAGACAGTGCATTTTGGTAGGACTATATTGGATCGTTCATATGGACGGTTCAACTTCTCGAAACTTCATTTAAACTTGGGAAGATATTAAGTTACTCTCGATTTGTTCCGATGTTATTTAGCTGAAAGAGTCCATTCCACTTTTTCAGTCAAGTAAGTGTTTTTTGATAAACGGACAAATATGTCAGTTATGCTAAGTGCTCAAGAGTGAAATAGAAAATACTCCAAGATTTAAAAGGGTTTTTGACCAGATAACTTTATTGGAAGAAGTGCACCTGGTAGAAATCCATGTCCTGCTACCACCAGGATCGGTGAATAATCTTTCATAACAACGTCAATATTTGAAATTTCATTTACATAAAGATATAGGTAAAACTAATGGAGGGAGGGAAATTGATGAGCGGAAGTTGGTGTTGAGTTAAAAAAGAGTTTAACCAGCTGGCTTCTTTGTTTCCTGCGCAAAAACAAGGTGGGCATAACAGTAAACGAAAAATTGTTTAAGACGTAGTGATGCAGACCAAGTGAATAGCCTGGGACTCAAATATTACATTCAAACATGAGCAAAATCTCACAGAAAAGTTACTTTGCGCGCCTGGGGGAAGGGGTACTCCTGGGAAATATACAAGGGAGTACCCCTCCCCCCCCCCCCAAGGGGTGAAAACAGGGAGCTTAAGCAAAGGCCTTTTTAGAGCGACCCACGTCAACCGGAAGTGGAGTTTTTGGGTTCTTGGCCATTGTTTTTGTCCATTTTGGGCACAAATCGTCTCTATAAGAGTGAAGAAACTTACCAATTCCAATTTGAAAGCGTCGAGGTATAATATATAGATTTAGCCAGGGCTAAAAGGGAAGCTCTCGATGATATTTATAGTTTGTTCAAACAAAATATAAAATCGTGTGATGCTAAGCGGCGAAAGCAACTCCGGACAACGGTGAAAAACAGCAATACTTCTAATTATGCAAAAAAAGCGGCTTTGCATGTGCAGGATACTTTTTTTGTACATTTCTTTGCTGTTGTTTTGCACGACTACAACGTGAAACTTCCAGAAACTTCTTGGTTACACGTTTTATGGAGGAAATGCCGTACGTTTTCTCGTTCACTTTTTTTTCACTGCCGCTCATTTTCCCCTTAATTGCATTGGTGGCCGCTAGCATTTCTCATTTTGTCACCGCCGCTACAAAATTTTCATGTTGTTCTTCCAACAAAAAAATGTCTCTATTTGTTTCTGACCTCTCGCTCTAGATCTCTGTCGTCGTTTTTCTCGTTGAGCTTCGCTGGCCTTCTGCCTACTTTCTCTTTTTCTCGGTCTTTCTCTTGCTCTGTATTCCAAATTTGTGGACATGACAATTAATCTAAGCTTAATACTTTAGAAAACAAGTATCCAGAGATATATTTCCGCTTTCCGTTTTTGTCTTTATTGACTCTTTAGTTGTCTCTGCTTTACAAGAAGAGGGTGGCTGTACGATTTCCAGTCAAACTAACCTCGAGTTACATTTGGGTTGCCATACCTGTCACAGTTGATTGAGCTATTTTACATTTCCGCCTGTGGTGCGGACGGACGGTCGGGCGGTCGGTGTACGGTCACGTGATTACCAAATTTTCTCGGATGAGTAGTTTACCACATTTTCTTACCCATGGCGCTCTGCTACGCGCGCCTCGCGCGCGAGAGCTCCGCTATTAAAAGAAAAAGGCCTCACTTAAACGCCTTTAAGTAAAAATAGCCGTCGCTTTCCTGCACTGACACTGACTTTGCCTACGATATTGTATTGATTTCAGATAACTTGCAGTGAAAATTTAAAAGATCTGTTTCAGCCATAAAGTGTCAATTTTGCTCTGCAGGTTAAAGTCTGATTCAGCCCCTCCTGAAGCCATTTGAGCACAATTTAGGCCAAAAAAGCTCAATCAAAAGGCTATTCCAGTCCACGCTGAGGCCAATTTCAGCCCTTGGGACCAAATCAGCCCTAGCTAATTGGATTGTATTGGCCCTGATTTAGGGGAGCCAAATAAGACTAAAAAATAGGAATGTATTTTAATCACCGAAACGGCCCCATTTTTAGGGCTAAAACAGATCTTTCTGATTTACAGTGTGGATAAAGCTCAATCATTGCTAGAGCGAGGTAAAACTGCTGCCACAGATCGAAGTTGGTCTTCACATAGACAGCAGCAAGACCGAACACGTGGCATATAACCTCCGATCGACGTCAGGGCGACCTTTCTGTACCCTAGACGGATCTAGACAATTCAGAAAGCTAAGACAAGTACGTAGGCTCTTGGATAGATCAAACGAAAAAAGACCTCGAGATCCGTGAAGCTAAAGCATTGTCCGCTAGCAACAAACTAACAGTGGTGTGAAATTCATCCTCAGCGGAGATATCAGGATACGTTTCTTAATAGCTTCAGTTGAATCTTGTCTATTATTCTTGTCAAAGAGTTCGACATTGACCACTGCAGTGGAAAAACAACTTGATGGCTGCTACACAAGGCTTCTACGTGCTACTCTAAACGTAAGCTGGAAAGACCATATATCTAACAAGGAGTCTCAGTTTCAACAAGTCTCGAGGTACGTCGGCTGCATTTTAGTGGCCACCGTTGGAGAAGCACGAATGAGACTGTTTGCTAACTACTTCTTTGGGAACCAAAAGACGGCAGACGCCGTAAGGCGGCGGGGGGGG